GGCCTGCTCCCCTGTGGCTCCCAGGAGGGCCGGGTTGCTCAGCGCCGGTCTGCAGGCTGTGTCCCAGGACCCCAGGCTCCGGGTGCGGCCCTGGGGCCCCAAACACCTCCGCGGGGCCTGAGCCTGGGGCTGTCCCCGCTCTGCCCCCGCGCTGCCCGCAGCGATGCCGGAGAAGTTTCCCGGCGGCCCTGGAGGACTCCGGGTCCCAGGGGTCCATGCTGCGGGGCCATGAGGTCTGCCTGTGCTGGGGCGCTGGGCCGTGTGTCCTGAGCCAGGAGTGGGGGGCTCTGCAGGCCGCGGAGCCCCTGATGGAGGACCTGCACAGGGACCCCGCCGGGAGCACTGTCCTGCGCGGGGCCCTTCCCCAGGGCCTCTTCACCACCCAGGACCGCAACACCATCATCACTCGGGAGCACTTCCGCCTCCCTCCGGGGGCTCCTGGGCTCCAGGCGCGAGGTGTAACTGCTCACCAGCCACCTGCCTGGCCAGGGCCACCAAGGAGCTGGCCGTCCTGCAGTCGCCAGGCTGGGCCACGCTGCTGGGCGAGATCCCTGTCACCGTGGGCCCCGCTGCATAGCACACTGCCCCTGCTGCAGACCTGAGGGCGGCCTGGCGCTCACCGTGCCCCTGCGCACCCTCATCAACAACCGCAGTGAGCTCTGGCTGGGGTGCGGCGAGGCCCCGATGGCATCGGGCTGGCCGAGGAGGCCCTGCACAGGGCCCAGGAGGTGCTGGCATTCCACCGGGGCCTGGGGCCTTGGTAAAGGGCACGTGTGTCTGCTGGAGGCTCACTAAGCACAGCCTGTCGGGCAGATAGACCTGCTATGAGCCAAGCTGGCCAGAGGGCCTACCGCACAGCCATGGACCTGGAGTCCATGGCTTCCCAGCTCACGGCTGACCTGTAAGAGGTGTCTGTCTGGAGACTACCATGCTCTGGTGCTGCACAGCCTCAGGGGCTGGCACCAGAGGAGGCGCCCCCTCTCCTGCCAGCTCCTCCCTCAGGAGCCCTCCTACCTCATCGGGCCCTGTGCAAGACCAGGTGCTGCCAGCCCGCTGGGCTACTTGCGCTTTGAGCCATGGCTGAGCTGGAGACCATGAAGGCATCAGGCCTCAGCTGATGCTGCTGGTGTGGCAAGGCTGGTGGGCACGGCCAGCCATGCTGGTCATCGATCTGCGCTACAACCCTGGCAGCTACTCCACGGAGGGGCCCTGCTCTGTTCCTATTTTCCTGAGGCAGAGCCCCGCCAGTACCTCTACTCTGTCTTTGGCAGGGCCACCTCCAGGGTCACAGAGGTGCGGCCCTTCCCCAGGTGACTGGTCAGCGTTACAGCCCCACAAGGACCTGCACATCCTGATGAGCCACACCAGCAGGTCAGCAACGAAGGCTTTTGCTCACACCATGCAGGACCTGTGGCAGGCCACCGTCATAGGGAGCCCACAGCTGGAGGGGCTCTCTCTGTGGGCATCTCCCAGGTGGGCAGAAGTCCCTTATATGCCTCCATGCCCACGCCAATGGCCCTGAGCGCCAGCACTGGCGAGACCTGGGACTGGCAGGAGGAGAGCCTGACATCACCGTGCCCATGAGCGAGGCCCTCTCCATGCCCGGGACATAGCGGGCCTGCACGCCAAGGTGCCCCCTGTGCTGCAGACCGCCGGAAGCCGGTCATGGATAACTATGCCTCCCCTGAGGTGGCTGCCAAACCGAGCCATCTGGAGAGCTGTTATTCGAGGGTGACCTCTGAAGGGGCGCTGGCTGAGATGCTGGGGCTGACCTGCAGGTGCTGTCTGGGGGCCCACACCTGAAATCAGCCCAGATTCCTGAGGATCGTGCCCATGCAGGTGAGAGGCATGGGGGGGCTGGGCTGGGCTGGGCTGAGCACAGTTCCATTAGGGGGCTGACTGACTGCACGCCCAGGTTCTGTTCGAGGTGCTAGGTGACGGCTTCCAGACTTATTTTCACCTTTGAGCTCTTACCAGCCACATCTTGTTCTCTCTCCCTCTGCATCCCATCCACTCCCATGTTCGGGGGTCCCTGAGCACCTCTGGGAGCATTGGTACCCACAGGGACTCGGTTTGGAAATCCAGGGTATAGAAGGTGCTACTCTCTTGTCTGGGTGAAAACAGGTGTTTGCGGGGCTTCTCATTGTCAGTGCTGGGAAGAGTCAGTAAGTTAGTGAAACACTGAGCGGGCGAATCAGTGCTGAGGAGTTTGCTGCTGGGTGGATGCAATATTATATCTTATGTAACCCTCTATATTCATAGTCGTATCATTTCAACACATGCTCAATATAAAAATTATTGTGAATGAGATGTTTTATACAAAGTCTTTAAAATCTTACAGCACGATCCCATGCTCATGTGTCACTTGTCTAGTGTGCTCAATGGACATCTGTAGCTGGTGGCTCCCGTGTGAGATAAGGGGCCATGTACCCCTAGCCTACTGGAGTCACCAGGGATCCAAAAGTGAGAAGCCTTTAGGACTCTGTCCAAAGTCGTGGAGGGGGTGAGGCTGGCAGAGAGGGGCACCCAGGCCAAGACGTCTGAGTGAGGAGAGTGCTGGTGCCTCTGGCCTGGCTGCCTGCTGACCCGGGCAGCAGATGCCACAGGCCACGTCCCTAGGGCACTGGGCTAGCTGCAACACAACCCTGACCTCACCAGCACCCTCCCCCAACTCCAGAGCTGTGGAATCTGGGCACGCTGCTGGGCCACCACCAATACTAAGGAGTTGCCACTGGAAAACAGAGCCATCCCTATCTGAACAGGAAAGTCCAGATGGGAGGAAAGGGTCACTCCAGTTCCTTTTCCTTCTGCTACATTCAAATGAGAGTCAGAGCATGGTTGAATTTTAGTACCTTGTTCATGTCGAGAATGTATGTGTGGCCCCCTGATAGGCTTACATTATAGGGGTTCTCTCTGTCACACGTGGGTGCGGGCGCGCACACACACACACACACACACACAGAATATATACAGGATGTCCCCAAAAATGTATACACATTTTAACACCTGATAGCTCCATTTTGAAAATGAAATATATTTTAATAAACACTGCCTTTATCATTATTCAGAGTGTGTGTATACATTTTTGGGGACACCCTATATATATGGCTATCAGGTGATCACCTCCTTCAAACCTACATGATTTCTTCTAGGTGGTTGAACCAAGGATGATATTTTAAGTTTCTTCTCTATACCTTTCTTTTTTCTTAAATCCTTATAATGAGTACATCAGATTATTTTCAAATGCAGCAATCATTATTCCAAAAAATAAAATATATAAGAGCAAATAAATTATAGAATTGAGTCAGTAACCATGCCTTAGTAATCACTAGTGGTTAAAAGTTGGGCTTTACTTTCGATATCATTTGGATTTCCGCGCTACTGGCATTTATTGAGTTTATTTCATTTAAGGTGTCGGGCTAGATGCTGTGGGGTTCACAGGTGACGAGATTCTGGCGGCTGTTAAGCAGGGGGAGGCGCAGAGCAGCTCTGAGGCTGGGGTGTGCACAGTCCTCTCTCCCGAGGTCACAGCACCTGGGCCAGCATCATCAGCATGTGCACTGGAGTCAGCGGAGACCCGGAGCTCAGGAAGCCGCAGGAGGTCACCATCCAGCACCGCGCACGTTTGTCCGGCATTTGCCACCCAGCACTTGCACCCCCTTTGGGGTTCAGAGAATCGCTCCCCAGATGAGCCTGTGGGAAACAGACCGCTGAGGAGCAGTGCATGGTTGGGACCCAGGTTCGCTTCAGCCCAGCCACGTCTCCGCTGGGTAACTCCGGGCAATTTACTTCACCTCCTTGGGCCTCCATCTGCTCCTCTCTACAGTGGCAGAGATAATAGCACCTTCGGGTTCTAGAGATGAAAGGAATTAATTTGGTGCCCAGCCAATGTGAGCTGGCACCATCTCCCCACTCTGAAGCTGTACACCCAGAAGCCTACTCTCCCAGCCCCCTGACGGCTGAGCTTAGGCTCATGGTCCTTCCTCAGCCAATCAGAGGCTCTTGTAGGATGTTTCATCTGAGCGGCACCGGCCAGATACCCAGTGTGCAAAGCAGCACATTTGTGCTGCTCAGCATCCTCAGCCGTCCTCCTGCCTGACCATGGCCTTGGCTCTGCTGAGTAGCTCTTTGTCCCTGCCCCTAGTCCAGCCTGGGGTCCCCAACCTTCCTACCCAACCTTGGGGGAAGCTCAGGCTCCTCTCAATATATCCCTTTCTGCTTCAGTCAGCCATGTCTCTGCTCCCTGACAACAGACGTCACTGTCACGGGCAGCTGGGTAGGGAATAGGCAAGAGGTGAACCCACATCTGTCTCGTTGCTTTGGGAATCTTAGGGGAGTCCTAGGGGAGATGGTCAGCAAAATATTCCCCAGTTTTCCAGGGGTGTTCTTTCGGGGTCTTGGTCTCCCAGCACCAGGACAGGAGGTCCTTAGTGATTGCAGGTGGCCCTGGTGCCACCCACCTGGGTTTGCTGCTTCTCTGAGCCTGGAGCTGAAATACAGCTGAAGCCGATGTTATCTCCAGGTGACTTCTGATCGGCCGTGGTTGCTTTTCTGGTTTGTTCATCTGTCTGTCTCAGTTTCCCTGTTCCACTTGTCCTGGCTCACTGACCTGCCTCAGTGGCTCTGGGTTCCAGGACCCACACCAGGCCACACCCTGCCAGGCTCTGCAGTTAGAAGAGGAAAGGAAAGGTGGCCTTCACTGTCAGGGTCCTGAGGCTTGGCTCAGCCCCACCTGGGAAGCAGGGCCGGGGACCTCTCCAGGAGGAGTGTGAAGAAGGCGCCTGAGACCCGCATAGGTGCTCCCTCTTCAGAGAGGGCTGGAGCCCAGAGGGGAAACCCAGCTCTCCTCCCAGCACCCTCCTGCTTCCCGTGCCCCTGCATCTGCCCACACAGCCCGACACGGCCAGCAGCCGCACTTGGGGGCCCTGATTATCCACACAGCTTTTTTTTTTTCAAATATATTTTATTGATTTTTTACAGAGAAGAAGGGAGAGGGATAGAGAGTTAGAAACATCGATGAGAGAGAAGCATAGATCAGCTGCCTCCTGCACACAACCTACTGGGGATGTGCCTGCAACCAAGGTACATGCCCTTGACTGGAATCGAACCTGGGACCCTTCAGTCCGCAGGCCGACGCTATATCCAGTGAGCCAAACCAGCTAGGGCTATCCACACAGCTTTTATGCAAGGAGAGGACACAGCTCAAAAAGGAAAGTTATACAATCCATGGTAGACCGCTGGACAAGGAAAACTTCCTCTGAGGCCCCCACTGGAAGGGGCCCATCTCCACCTTCTCCACCTGCTGGTCCCCATAGGATTAGTGCCACTTGGCCTACAGGCCTATTCACTGCCAGGCTCACCAGTCCAGCCAGTGCTAAAAATAGCCACCTAGTCCAGGTCCTTTAGAATAGCAAGGGCAGCAGAGACCACTGGCGTCCTGTCTCCTGCCCTGGGAAAGCACAGATGGTCGGGGAAGAAAGAGTTGGAGTTAAAGAACCCCAACCCTTTCCTCAGCATGCACTGACACCTTAGTCCCCATTCAAAAATGGTTTAAAAAAATTACTTTCTCCTAAGAAATGGCACAAATCAAAACACATCAGAAAGTGACTTACTTTTTAAATAAGAGGTTTATTTTCTATGGGGTTTATATCTTGCTATATGATGTTTACCCCACAATAATTCTAGTACAAAAAACAAACACATGCAAATAGCAGGGTGTTAGCCATTTCTCTGAAATAAGTGGCCTGCAGGGAAGGCCTGCTGCCTCCAGGGGGTGCAAGCACCTTCCAAAATGAGGAAGGTAGTAAGTGCTCAATAAACAATACCTAGCGTTACTGGATACGCCATAAGAGTGGCTAGCAGAAGGCAATGTGCACAGAGGAGTCAGGCAGTATGGAGGAGGCTGGCAGCGCCAGGCCCAGCACCAGGCCTGTGCGGAGACTGGGACCATAGCAGAGTGAGGAGGGGTCTCCAGGTGGTTCCTGCCTCTCACCACCACCACCACCACACCATGCTTCCTCGAGTCCCTGCACCCCATTTCGGCCATCAGTTTAGAGGCCACCTGCATTGGCTGACCTCTAACTTCACAAGCAGTGCCGATTCTGGCGTGCACTTGGCCTGGTGCTGAGCCTTTACCCAGGACATCTGAGCCGCAGGCTGTCGGGACTGCCTTTCCTCACTTTCCCCCACTCTTTCCCCAACTCAGGCAAGACTCACTCACTTTCAGTAACCTAATATATAGTCATTTAAAGAGAATCCACAGCCAGAAATTGGCCAAAAGCTGAAATCCAGGATCCCAGACTTATAAAGGTTTTACTTCTCTTCTAGATAAAAACAGGAAGAAAAGCAGATCTTGGTTAAAATTGAGAAATAAAATGGGTCTGAATTCAAAATGTCTTATTTTAGCCTCATTTGCACATTTCTGGACTTTGATAAATCATAACTGAATGGCTGCTGGGAGGTACTTTACTAGAATATAACTAGCCATTTTTCTAGCCACTGTAGCTATTTTCCTTCTCCTTGCCTAAGAAGTTGGCCAAGCTTTTCTATTCATTGACTTGGTGGCTTCTGTGTTATCTAATGACAGCATTGCCAGGAAACCACCAAGACCCAGGACCCGGGGGGCAAGGGAGGCGGAGAAAAGACAGAGCACACTGGGAAATAGTGGCAAAGGCACCAAGCAGTGTGGGGAGACGGCATGATATTAAAAGAGCTGCCTGCTTAGGTGCAGGTGGGGGGGAACTTTCTCTGAACTTGAGAGGCTGGAGAGGGAGTTCCAGAAGACAGATTGCATATCCCACCACAGACAGCAGGTTGGGGTGCAGAGATTAAATTTGACTTAGAGAATTTAAGGAATTTAGCCATTTTCACCCAAGGCTTGTGGAGAAAAGTCATACCTGCTGATGTGATGTTTTGTGGCAATATCACCAGCCAACACTTAATGGTCCAGAAGGTGTCAGAGGCGCTTGGGCAATGTCACGATTAAAAGTGACTCCTCTCCAGTAGATGAAGGAAAGCAGGAGACAAGAATGGAGGAGACAAGATTCAACTGTCAAGAGGACTTTGGGAGCCCAGCTGGTGACGAGTAGTAACTGCCACTTTCATAAACTGTAAGTCATCACCTCTCTAAGTCTTCTTCCAATTTGTCAATTTAAGTGTCGGCAAAGCAACTTGCATTAACATCAATTTTTACCAAAATAAAGTCCATCTTCAAAGTCAATTTTTATCAAACTGAATTCCATCTTAAAAACTGAGTTGGAGAAAGGTGTTTTATTGTGCTTCTTCCTAAGCTTAATTAAGCTAATTTGCTTTAATTAATTTACTTTTTTTCAAAATGCCTCCCTTGCTTGTGAGTGGTGCGGCCACTCTTAGTAATGATTCCCTTGGAGGCCACAGCCGTGGCTCCTTGAGTCCAGCCAGCCAGGAAGATGTCAGACTGGGCCTCCCTGCTGCCGCGGGAACCCTGGCCTTGGGAACCCCTCACCACCACGTACGTGCCCTGCAATACTTTGCAGCCAGCTTATGCACAGACGACAGTGCTTGCTGCTGTGAAGCGAGGGAATGGATGAGAATTCTACACTCTTGATTCCAAATGTCTATTTTATCTTCCTATAATGAATGTATGCCTTTCAAAGTGATTTCACAGAAATGATGGACCAATCCAGTAGCCAGAGGAGGATGGCTGTGCATGCCATTTGACAGAGGTCCAAACGCAGTGAGAAGCTGATGTAGCCTTGTGAGCAGTGAGGCGGAAGCAGCCTGTCTCGCTCTGCTCTGGGGAAACAGCAGTGCCCAAAGCACTCATGGAACTCACACTCTATGGATAGGACACAGTCAGCAAGACAGATCACATGCAAGCTGGTGAAACGCACTAAAGAGAAAGGCAACAGGAAGGTGAGTGGGGGCAGGCAGGGGGCAAGCTGAAGTCAATGTCTGGTCCTAGTTTGTAAAGCATCCTCAAGGACATATGAGCTCTCGGAGCAGATGTGTGGCAGGCGAGGAAGGATGTGAGCTCAGCGTGAGGAGGTCCTGGGGTCTTGTCCTTGCACCCATGGTCTTAGGAAAGTCAGTTAACCTCCTGCAGTTTAGTTTCTTCTGCAGTAAAATGGGTATTAAATATCTCCCACCTGGGTACCTCATGTGGATGAAATGATGTCTGGAATGACAGTGTGGAGCCTCAGGTCCAAACCTGCAGGGGGCCCCTTCTGCCCACCTGAGACAGCAGAGGGGGCTACTTGCAGCGTCAGTCTCTCTGGGCAAATTCTGCCCCCACATGGCTGGCCGTCCAAGGGGCTGGCCTGCAGACCTTTCTTCCAAGCCTCCCCGTGAGAAAGGAGGTTTCTGTTGGTGCCTGTAGGGAGCACAGGGCTCCTTTCAGATGCAAAGGAAAGGCCTGGGGGGGGGGGGGACTCTCCTCTCCTCCAGCCCATCCTTCCTTCCAACTGAGGCCAGAGGCCCCCTCCAAGTGCCTCTTGGAGTCGAACCTCTACGTCTGGTCCAGACTCTTCTCTTTCAAGGCCCTCGTGCATCTCCATCTTCCCTGAAGGCTGCCTCCCCCATGCAGTCCTCCTGCCTGCCTTATGGCACCCTGGCGCCTCTGCGCTCTGACCACCCTCCTTCCAGCCACTGCCCTCCCTGTCTAAATCACCAGCACTGCTGACTTTCAGGCTCAGTTCATGCTCCTCCCCCGCCCCCCACTCCTCAGAAGGCCTCCAGGGATGCCACACCCCGCTTCCCACAGGTCTGATTTAGGCGTGCTCCCCATGGTACCCCCACTAGATCCTTCCAACCACAAGCCTGAGCTCTGTGATGGAGGCCCCACCAGAGGGCTGCAAGCTGCAGCTCAAATGAAGAAATCCGGAAAGTGAAGTGGAAACCAGCCTGCATGCCATCAGGGTTTATGGCCTGGTGGCCTGGTGTTTGCAAGGACGAACATAGAAATGCAGAAGAGATAATGGGACCCAGAACCCTCCCGCTGCTCACAACATGTTAAGCCTTGAGCTTTGGCACACGCTCCCTTCCTGAGAGCCACAGATGCAGAACATGGAGAACCATGGCTGAACTACTGACCCCAGTCTTCACGCTCCTGTGGTCGGTGACACACCCACTCGCTCCGCCTGGCTCCACATGGCAGCATGCACATTTCACTCCTTAACCTTGAACTTGGCCACTGACTTGCTTTGGCAAAGAGATGTTCTCAGAAGTGACCCAGGAAGTGGACATGCCCTCTTGTGCTCTGGTGTGACCACGAGAGAAGCATGACCTGGGTAGCCCATCAGTTCCAGAGACACAGCCCGGAAAAGACCAGCCCAACCCCACCAACCCACAGACCCGTGGGTGGGAAATCGAATCTCTGAGTTGTTGGCCACTTCGATTTTGTTACGTAGCAACAGCTGACTAATCCGGACAATGATAATAAGCATCCTTCACACAGTGATCACACTGTTCCAGGCTGTGCTGGCCTGTTTCCTCACGTCTTTCCATGTAACCCTGACAACACCCGAAAACACACGTGTCGTATCTCCATTTCACAGATAAGAAAACTGGGTCCCAGGCAGATAGAGCAGTTTGTTCAAGGGCAGGTCTGGTATGTAAAAGGGCCGAGACTCAAATCCAGGCTTGTCTGTCTCCAAAGCCTGTGCTGCCAGCCAAACGCGGCTCCATGGAGCCCGGGCGTGGTGCCAGGGCGGCGCCCCTCTGGAAGATGGTGAAGCACTTTGCGCCCAGTAGTCCCAACACCCTGGGTTAGCAAAGCACATCACTTTATTTCATGAGTTTATTTACTTCAAAACACATCCCAGCCAAGGACTCCCTCTTTCAGCTATGACAGAGCCGTTGGTGGGCGCATCCCAAAGCAGACGCCCTGCAGACACTGCGGACAGCTTTCTGCTTGGCGCCCGGGGAGCTGCGCTCCTCGCCACGCCCAGCCCACAGCCACCTGTCAGCGGTGAGAAGTCATGTGCCGGGAGAGGTGGTGGCACTCCCGGAAGGACTCACGGCAGACGGGGCACATGAGTGCTTCTTCTCTCAGCTTCTTCGAATGCAGGTCCGGCCCCGCATGCCCCTTTCTGTGGTGGGACCGCATATGAAAAACCAGGTCAGAAGTCAGGCGAAAGGAGAGGTTGCACTTTGCACACCAGTTCCGGGTGGCCAAGCCCAGGGACGTGAACGCGGATGGTAGGAGGGCCCAGGAGACCGAGGAGGGAGCGGAGGCTGTGGGTATCTGGGCCATGGCATGCTTTAGCCACAGCATGGGGGCACCCGCGGAAGCATTGCTGAGAGCAGCATTTTGTGGCAGCATCTGCAGGTTCCAGAAATCACTCACCGAAACCTTGGAATTGGAACATCTAGGCCAGGAAGGGATGTCTACTATTTGCCTGGGTCCCACCAGCTCCCCCAGGGCATCTGCAGGTCTGCCTGCCTGGAAGAGAGAGGCCAGCCCAGGTCTCCCTGATGTGCACCTGGCTGGTTTGCTGAAGGCACTTCTCTGCTCCCTTCTGGCGCTGCTGGGCCACGCAGAGAAGACTGTGCTGCCAGCTGGGTCCCTAGGGATGCCCTGCGTCAGCTGCCGAGGGCCAGGCTGGCCTGTGGAGTCATCATGCTCCCTCTCCTTGGCCCACATGCCCTGTAGCCTTTCCTTGAGATGAGGCATCTCCATGAAGGCGCTCTGCTCTTGTTCCCAGCCCACCGTCCGGGCCAGTGCTTTTCCCAGTCTCAGCTCGCCCGGGGGTGTTGATCGTGCCAGCTCTGCGCCGGCCTCCTCCTGGCCACCACTGCTGAGGGCAGCCTTGGAGCCTGGGTGCTCTGTTTGCTCCAGCAGCACTGGCTTGCAGCCCCGGGTTTGCAGGACCCCCTCTCCAGCAGCCATGCGGACTAGTGGGACCTGGGACAGCTCAGCAAGGTGGACACTCCCACAGGTATCGTCTTCAGGGAAGAGCTATGAGATTGGAGAGCTTCCCGATGGGTGGGCCAGCCACACTTGGACCACAGGCCTCTGCAGAGAGAGGAAGCAACAGGCAGTTGTTCGCATCCAAAGAATCCCGACTACCATAGATGCCGCACTCACCCAGTCTCAGAGCTTTATGCCACCTGCTTTCACCTCCAGTTCTCCATCAGGGAAGGAAAATACTGCACAATGCTGCCACCCAGAGGCGTGACTCAGTACTGCTTCCACACCTGTCAGCATCCAGGCAGCAAGGACTGCATTAACCGAGCACACAAGGCATCCACCAGCCAGCTCTGACTTTGTGGGCAGCTCCAACATGTTTGCATGCTGATTTAGGGCAGTTTGCATTTCTTGCTACACAGCATGCCAATCCCCCCCAAATCCTCAGAAATGCCAAGAACTTTAAGCACCTAGGGACAGGAGCTCCTGCGGGTACAGGCGTCCAGAGAGATAAAGGCTGAAGCAATAAATACCCAGGCATGGCAGGGAGAGCGTGGGGCTGTATCTGGCTTCCACTACTACACCTGGGGGTCAGCCACTTCTGGGCTTGGTCCCTCTCCTGGAACTAGTGGGAGTCTCTCCCGTCTGTCTCCTCTCGCTGAAAGTGCCAACACTGGGTTCTTCTCACCTTAATCCACTTACTTTTCTTCTGCTCATCTGGCAACTGGCAGCTGTCCTCTTGTGCCCACTCACTGGGCATGCTCAGATGGACCAGCTTCTGCAGGCTCTCGAGGCTTTGAGGGGACGTATGCGGTGGCATATGTGAGGATGGCATTGAAGAGGAGAGGGTGCCCTCAGCCCGGCTGGGGAGGCACTCTTCCCTGCCTTTCCCTCATCAGCTCCACCAGCAAGTTCGAGAAATGGGGAAACCCATCTTCAACACCCGCTCAGCCAGCAAGCAGTGCTGCTGGGCCACACTCCAAGTTTCCGTATTAGAAACGATTTCCGCAGGCCCAGGAGGACCTGACCGCAGGCGCTGAGCTTCCTCACGGGCACTGGCGAGGGCTTGTTACGTATCAATAGCATGTGGGCTCATGTCAGCTGCTTCCTCCGGCCCTGCCTCATGCCCACATGGAAAGGAAGCGCGGGCACTCTCTCCTCCCTCCATCTTGGGGGCAGGAGTCCACGATAGGTGCTTTGCACGTGTCACCTCCTTCCATCCTCACCCTTTTCACAGACAAGTGGACTCGAGTTTTGGAAAGCTACACACCCTGCCCAAAGTTCCCTGAAAGTAGGAGGTGCAGCTGGGGTTGAAACCCAAGAGTGTGTCCCCAAACCCCGCTTTGGCTGCACTACCCATGTCAGCCTCACATGCCCCAAACTGTGCTTCCAGGGGATCTGAGCCCTTCTTTTTTTAATTAACTTAATTTTATTTTGTTGTGGACAGTATTATCAATGCCTCCCTGTGGTCCTGCTGCACCTCGTATTCCTCTGCAGACACCCCCACTGGGCTCCTTCGCCACTCAGGTGGCCTCTGCCAACCACAGATGTGTGGACTCTGTTGCCAGACTTGTCCAGAGTGCCCTGAGACACGGACGTAACAACCCTCTCCTCAGCCCTGAACTTTTGGATATGTGGCCTGACTGCAGGACGGAATATTTTGCTACCAGGATTCTTCATGATATAAAAATAGACGTCATTGTTTATTGGCTACATAAGGGTCTCCGTGCCAGAGGCTCAATCACCTTACTTCATGGACTTTTCACAGCAACCATCTGAGGAAAGTTGCATTGTCTCAACTCAACTGCGTTCATCTTCAATCTGCCCAATACCAGGCTGCTAAGCTCAGCACTGCACCTCCAGCTTTTTGAGACACTGTGGATCCGGACTCTGCTCACTGCTGTGTTAGATATCCAACCAGTTTCACTTTCATCAGTGCTACAAGAAAAATCTTACTAATGAGGAGGAGAAGAAGAAAAGATGATATAACATAAAAATAATAATAAGGAGGAAGAGCAGGAAAAGGAGGAGGAAGCAAAAAGGCAAATGAAGATGCTGACGGGGACTTTTGGCATGACTCAGCCCCCCCGAGGGTCACCACTCTCCCATGTGTCTGTGCTGCTGGGTAATATCACTCAGGCAAGTGCAGAGAATGTCCTGCCAAAATCTGCTGCGGCCCCATCTAAGCCCAGGACACTCTGTGTGCCACAGTCACCAGATCTGAGCTTCTCAGATGGAAAGTGATGTGAGTCTGACATGGCTTGTCCAGTGAGCCCCTGCTAACCTCTACTGCTCATCTCTTCTTGGTGACAGACTCCCAGGTGCTTTTCCAAGTCAGCATCAGACACTGAGTCTCATCCAGCTCCAGGCTCCATGCACCTCTGTCTTGTACCCCAAGGCCTCTCAGATGACCTCTGCAGAAATGTGATGTCATCTCTAGGGTCACTCCATGCTCTGGCCAGCGAGTTCTGGGTAAGGCGACCACATGCACAGACCACATGCACTGCCTCACTCCTCCTTTCCCACCTGGACCCACCAATGCCCTTTCAAACTGGGAGATGGGTCTCTGTCCCTGGCAAAGTGAAGCTGCGCCTTCCTCTTTCTTCTTCCATGACAAGCTGCCCTGGCAGCCAGTGGGTCTATGCAGCCTTTGTTCTCCGTGCTCCCAACCAACATGAGCCCTTCGTTCTCCTCTGCTCCCTTCAATAGCCTCAGTTTATGCCGGGGTATCATTCCCTAACACTATTTACTACTGGTCCTCATCACTCTCTATCATGTGTGTCCTGAGAAGATGTTTTTCTTGTCCTCCTTGGTCCTTTCAGCCTGAACTCAGTAACATATCCTCTGAACCACACAGACATCTTCAGTTCCACCCGTGTTCTTCCTATTAAAAGGACTGGATTTTAATTTCAGACTCCAACAGTTTCTGAGCCTTTGCTTAGATCATGGGATTACTAAGTGATGATCTTTGAAGCCACCTGA